AAGACGTCTGGAATGGTCCAGTTGTGTTACTTCATCAAATTCTTGTGTGTCTTAGCACAACTATTTTCCAAACGCAAGGGAAATGAAATGCTTGGAGAATTTTTATTAAGGGAAGAGCTTTGGTAAATTGGTATGGATTTCTTGATTTAATCTTCTCCATCGAATCTAATGTTCAGTTATTTAGTAAGGTGTTTAAACAACGTGTCGACAACTAAATTTGGGATTATATTTGTCCTGGTGTTTTTGTCTGTGGCTTGTAGTCAAAATGAATTAGGTGGAATCTTTGTTTAGAAACATGCTTGTAGTGATGTTCAAACCAAATCAGTTGAGTGTTTATTAATTATTTTTTTGAAAGAAAAATTAGAAACAAGTCATTTTGGGTATGAGGGATGATGTTTTGATTCAAAACCCTTTGATTTTTTAGATTTATATCAAATTGCTAAGGTAATTTTGACCTTTTCTAGTTTGTTTATGAGAGGGCATGACAATTTTTAATGTTCAGCCTTTTTCCGGGAGATCTATGCCTTTTTCCAAGGGTCTCGGTTGCCTTGAATTATTAGTTGTGTTGTGTTGTTGGCTCGAAATCTTTGATATACTATTTTGAAGTATGGATGTCTCGAAATGATAATTGTTATGTAATATCGATTATTTTGGTACACTAACTGTCTAGACATAATGGTTGCTTTAATGGTGTGAAATATGGGTTGTCCGGACAATATTTGTCTAGACATAATAGGTTGCCTTGATGGAATCTAAAATAATGCTCAAAGTTGTCTCGGGATGATAATTGTTGCGGAATATCGGTTGTCTTGGTACAATGATTGCTTTGATAGTTCAGACATAGACATATTGGTTGCTTTGATGGTGTAAAATATCGGTTGCCTTGGCAATTATTTGTCCAAGACATAATGGTTGCCTTGATGGAATCCAAAATAATGGTTGCTCAAAATATTGGTTGTCTCGAGATGATAATTGTTGCGAAATATCGGTTGTCTTGGTATAATGATTGTCCATATATAATAGTTGCCTTGACAATTGTCCAGACATAATGGTTGCTCGAAATATTGGTTGTCTTGGGATGATAATTGCAAAATATCTGTTGTCTTGGTACAATGATTGTCCAAACATAATGTTGCCTTGACAATTGTCCAGACGTAATGGTTACCTTGATGGAATCCAAAATAATGGTTGCTCGAAATATTGGTTGTCTCGTGATAATTGTTGCGAAATATTGGTTGTCTCGTGATGATAATTGTTGCGAAATATCGGTTGTCTTGGTACAATGATTGATTGTCCAAATATAATAGTTGCCTTGTCCAGACATAATGGTTGCCTTGATGGAATCCAAAATAATGGTTTTGTTGCGAAATATCGGTTGTCTTGGTACAATGATTGTCCATACATAATAGTTGTCTTGATAAATTGTCCAGACATAATGGTTGTTTTGATGGTGTGAAATATCGGTTGCCCCTAGCAATATTTGTTCAGACATAATGGTTACCTTGATGGAATCCAAAATAATGGTTGCCCCTAAACACTAGTTGTTTCGGGATGATGATAATTGTTGCAGAATATCGGTTATCTTGATACAATGATTGTCTTGATAGTTCTAACACAGTGGTTGCTTTGATGGTGTGAAATATTGGTGGCCTTGATAATATTTGTCCAAACATAATGGTTACCTTGATGGTGTGAAATATCGGTTGCCTTAGCAATATTTGTCCAGACATAACGGTTGCCTTGATCGAATGCAAAATAATGGGTGCTCCAAATATTGTTTGTCTTAGAATTATAATTGTTGCGAAATATCGGCTATTTTGGTACAATAACTGTGCGAAATATTGGTTGTTTTAGTACAAGATGTTGTGAATTATCGATTGCTTGAATACAATAATGGGTCTAGATAGTTGTAGACAACTGATCATCTTAAAATACTAGCTGTGTAATAATGATAATAATGATAATTGTAATTTCTTTTGGTATAAGAAGTGTGTAGGCAAAATTGTTGCCTCGTTATCTCAATTATAATTACAATTACAATTGGTTGCAACAATTTGATAGTGTCTCAAAATATTCATGCCCTCCATTATAATATTTATCCATGTGGTCTGTATTTATTTATTAATTAAATTATTCCGTATGATACGTAATTCATGATCATGTTTGCGAAAACGTAAAAAAATCAAAATATTTGGTCTTGATTATAAAAATTCTGATCAATTATTGACATCTAAATATATAATTCATTTATAAATTTACTCGATCGAAAATTTATAATTTTAAAAATTAATTCTAGATTTAGTGTCACATTCAGTAAAGATTTATAATACGTGTATAGGGTGTACTTAATGTGTTCGAGCTTGCCCCACAGATGTACTTGGGCAAAATAGAAATGATACCTCAAGGCGAAATAGAATCCAAAATAATGCTTCTCCCAATGTTGGTTGATTTTAGGGTTTAGGAGTGGAAGTGCAGTTATGGATGTAGCTGAGGCATTCTAATAAATCGGTAGACTTGAACCTTGTTCCTATATGACTCGATCACCCGATCAATTCGATTAGGTACTCGCCATCTATTTTTCAATAGATGTATATTATTTATTGTCAATTTTGTAAAATTTATGTATATTATTTATTTTTTAATAAAGAGAAAAAAATGCAATTCAATTTCAAATAAAAGAATTTCTATATAGATTCCTTCAAATGGGGTGTGTATCAATAATTAATGTGTTAATCTCAATTAGATTGTCAATTTTTATTTTTGAATTCAAATGACATTAGAAATTCTTAACACTCATTTAACGAGTAAAAGAGTTACATCAGAGAATACGCTAGAAAAAAAAGCTAAGACAAAGACGGGAATACGCTAGAAAGAAAGGCTAAGACAGAGACTGTGATACAAATAGAATAGGTGAAGGAGAATGAATACCCCGTATTGATCTTTTTCTTTGACCGGAGGCAACTCTTTGTGAAAGAAAGTGAAGGAAGTAGGGAGAGGTTAACAAGGAGTTAAGTCGAATGCATAAGGAGTCTTGATCTTTGTCTTTTACCCCTCCCTCTCTATCTATCCTAGGTATGGAAGGGACGAGGCCTTTGGTGTCCCCTCCGGTCAAGAATTCGGGCCTCACAATCACTAGCCAATATGCTTTTCTCTCATGCATTTCTTCATTCATGGTTCGATATTCTGGTGTCCTAGGCGTAGAGGAACCACACCATTCTGGTGTCCTAAACTCTACTGCGGTGACGATATTGTAGGGGAGGTCCTGCGGAAAAATAGCTCGACGCCAGGATGATAAAAAGCTTAACACCTCTGATTCTTATTACTTTTCAATATTTAATATGGAAAAAAATATGTAAAGGTGGTCTTATTCAAAACCCCTTCTCTCCCACTTTTCTCTCTCACTTCACACCTTGGAACTTAGGGTTTTGTCACGATAGAACAATATTGGTTGATTTTGATATAGTGTTTTGAAATCACCTTGCAATTATAATCCGACATAATGGTTTGCTTTGATATCCTTGGTTACTAGTTATCTATGTTGGTATGGCAGTTATTTCGTTGCCTCAATTTCAATAGTTGTTTAGACGTAATTATTTTGTTGCCTCAATTATAATAGTTGTTTAGACATAATTGGTTCTATTGAATCTAATGTTTGTCTAAATGGACTAGTTACTTTGAAATATTGTTTGCTTTTGCTCCAAAATTTATGTCTCGGTTGATGATGGTCTGAAAAATAATAGTTGTTTTGTCGGGATAACTATCATGAATTATCAATTGTTCAAATATTATTAGTTTTTCGAAATTTTGGTTGACCAATTAGATGTTATGATAGTTATTCCCGTGTATAATTGTTGTCTTAATGTGTTACATTCAGTTTGTTGTTCCGATAAGATAATGTCCAAAATGTTGCCTCAAAATGATATTAGTTACGAGATATGATATGAGTTTGGCATAATAGTTGTCTCAAGGTGTGATGGTCATAAAAAAATAGTAGTTATGTTCGTTAGAACAATTGGCTGTCCCAAATTTTTAAATTGGTTAAGTTCGTATCTTAATTGTCATATAACACTAGTTACTATTTTGAAATATTAGTGTTTTGTAATTATAATAGTTGAGAAATATTAGTTGTCATTTGACTCAAAAAATAGTATAGTGGAAGTTCGTTTATAATTTTTATTATTTAAATAATATTTTTTTTTATATTGTAAAAATTTATTATTATATATTATTATATAAATAATAAATAATTAAATAATGTAATGTAAATTTATTAAAAAAAATCATCACTAAAAATACATATTCAAATAAAAATAAAATAATTATTGAAATATTCTAATGTGTTGAGCAGACGAATGAATGAATGAAATATTTTTTTTTTATTAAGGAGGTAAAAAAAATTATAAAATTAAAAATGGTATTTTTTTTCTTGTGAGTTAACCTTTCTTTTTCAAATGTATTATAATTTTTCAAATGTATTATGATAATTGTCCTTGAGATATTGGTTGCTTGAGTTCCATTTGTCTACCTTCAAACTCTACCTTTGGTAGTGATTGAGCCTTATGAATTTGCCTATTGTAGAGTCCGCTAGAGTCTCTATTGGATGAACGTGTATGCATGGATGTCGTATATAGCCGAACAAACTTAGTTTCACATGAGTTGTGTTCAATAAGTTCGATGAAGCCACAAATCTGAGAGAAAAATTATAATGGAGTCACTGTGTTGGTTACCTTAATTTGGTATTTTGAAATTGGCCTACCTGATTTGAATCTCTCTTGATGGATAGAACATACAAATAGTATATCAAAAGGCAATTAATAAACTGATAAACTAATCAGTAAATCATAGCATAAAATGCTACTAATTAGTATTTCAGCTAGCATATTATCATTTTCATCATTTAAACATGCTTTGATTACTGCTAGAGGAGTCTTCACTTAGCTAAAGTTTATACTCCAAATTTGATATCAATATGTTATATGGTCGAAAGTTTCATCCAGTTGAAATAAAAAACGACTTAAAATTTTGAATTTAGTGTTCTAAATTCAAACCAGAGAAACCGAAACCATGCTCGAGTTATATACTCAAGATTTCTCTACGTTTTGAGATTTCAACGCTGTGGTATAGATCCAAAATTTCAGGAGTTCTTTCCAGCCAAATCTTCAAGGGACAAGCTCAGAGAATCGAGAGAACCTTTGCGGACTTCCTCACCACGAGCAGCCAGGAAGTCTTCGACGCTGCCTGGCTCGCCGAACCAACCAAGATGGTCTGCAATAAGGTGTAAATTGTTGCATCCACCGCAACGTGCCACTACCACGCCCTTCTCGTATGATTCACGGCAAACTGTCTTGATTGATCTTGTCTCGCAGACTTTGCAAGTGAAGATCATGGCAAGGTCATGCCTAGGGGATGATTTCAAGTTGGACATAACAGAGTACTTCACAGCAGAACCATCGTCCTTGTTTTCATGAACAGAGTTGCGTTCGTTATCTTTAGAATCCTCAGCAATTGATGAGTTTGCCAGGCTCTGATTACCTCTTATCCAAAATCTTTGCCCAGTCAAGAACCATGAATTTGCAAACGGGTGAATCTGGCAAGTCCTTTCTGCAATCACAATTTGTAGTAATGTAAACTATAAATAAAAAGATGAAAGAAACCGTCAAGAATCAGACATCAGATAATGAAATGAATCCAAGAATATTTATTCTTTTAAAGCTACAAGAAAATTTCCTCAAACGTTTTAAAGGAAGAACACATGAAGCTTCACAAACGGTCCCATTTTACTGCTAAAACCAAATTAACCAGACCTCAAATTGTCTGTTATGAAGCTCACGAGCCGCTAATGAGATTTATATGTTCAAACTCTGTTTTCTGGGGAAAATGGATCAAATTAGTAACCTTATACGCTCACTTGCAAACAAAAAGGGGAGGGACTTTTTCTTAGACAGCTTCTAGCGGTTTATCTCTTCACGAGTCGTCAGCTCTAGTCTAGACTTTCCCACCCAAAGAAGTTCTTGGAAAGCCTTTATAGCGGGCATCACAAACCCTTTCTTTTGCCTGACTAAAACATTTTATGCTGTATATGTTTTTGGCTTTTTTTGTTCTTTGGTCATTTTCAGTAACCTTAGCCCTCTACGGCCCCAATTAGGAGCACTCAAAAGCGCCATTGCCAACGTTGCAATCTATGTTGCCTCCAAGGCATCCCACCTCCTAGGGAGTTTCGAAGGGCGGTAACCTTAGCCCAGAACTCAATCTATGGCCACAGTTAGGGGCACTCGAAAGTACCGTGCCAACAGTGCAATCTATGGTGCCTCCAAGGCAACCCACCCCCTTCCAAGTGATTCAAAATGTTTTTGTCCCTATTTCTTCTTTCACTCGGGTTTCCTTATGTCTTTGATTGAACGACTAAATAGATAGGTAGGTCTTTCTTTGTCTCTTTAAGTCAGGGGGTTAAGGAAAGAGGAATTCGACATAAGTGTTAGACATAAGATTAAATTTACTGCTATCCATCCGCTATCCGCTGAAGCGGAGTTTGAAATAAATCATATAAAGCACTTACAAAAGAGTGTCATGGACACAACTCCCTTCACTTAGAAAACAACAGAAAGAACTCGCCCAGAATATTCAACCAATTAGATCATAGATACACATAATTGTCCTTTAATCCTCTTTGGTAAGTCTTTGGGAAGTCAGAAAATAAATTACCAATATACTCATTTCACCACTTCGACACAAGATTTTCCCATGAACGGAGAATACCAAATTCACCCACTAATGGAGGGGATACAGAAACAAATAACAGATTCCTATGATTCTGGAACGATTTAAATAACAAGCAAAATACCAGAACAAATCAGGCAAACATATATAGATAGGAGTGAGAAAATTTGTCTAAAATTAGGGTTTTACCGAGAGAAGAGAAATGGAAGCTCACCGTGCGGAAGAGAGGTCTGCGATCGATAACGCAAAGCGAGAGAGAGAATTCGCCTCGTCGCCATGGAAGACTGCAGACGGAGCTCCGAGTGAGGAGGTTCAGATTTCCATCGCCGGGTGTGTGTATACCAGAACGGCCGGGTTCCTCTGGAAGTTCGACATCAATTATATTTTCGCATTAAATCGGGTAACCAAAATTTGGTTAAAATAACCCCTTCAAATAATAATATTAATCCAATATTTAAATATTAATTTTATTTTTTTAATTAATATATCTAATATATTAAATATTAGTCGGTATATTTCAAATTAAAGGTATATATTTACGTATTTAATATATAATAAAAAAATTTATTCAAACTATATGGTAAGTTCTAGATATAAATTCATTCACTAATTATATGTCGCTCTATCTAGACGGTTGCTATGCATTGTAAGATAAATTATGTCAATTGATACAATTATTATAAGAAAAACGATCTTTCACTAGCTAGTCAAAAGTCTATTTTACTCTTGTAATTATATCTCACCCTTTAGGTACCACTAGTTCTCTAATGAAACCAATGAAACCGAAACATTTATTTATGATCTAATAATAAACCATCTCGGCTAGGGCCCAATTGTTTAAATCTCAAGATTAACACTTTAAAAAATTACCAGTCAAATCCTTGCTAATAGAAAGATCATTATTTTCTCAAAATTAAAATCAAGTCGCACGAAGTTATATAATAAAATATTAATCTTCTTAATTAATAAATCTATAGAAATGAATAAAATATTTTATGGTCCAATTTTATACGAATTCAATATATATAATAATTATACTCATAGAATAATTTGGGATCAAATCGTAAAAATTACAAATTAAATGGTATCAATAGTGTTAATATTACCATGGTAAATAAAATAATTAAAATTATTATTAAAAATTAAATAATTAATTATAAAGTTTTATTACATAAATCCCAAAGTTTTAAAATCATAAATTCATAGAAAGTAAGAAAATTGAATATTTTAACAATAAAATAAATATATTATGTTTTATATTACAGGTTGGTCGACAGCGATGGATTTAAAGTTTCGTTATCTTTATGTATAGAAGAACTTTATTTTATATTCAAGTATTTAAATATAGGTATCCCAATCCATAAAAAACCATTTTTTTTTATAGTATTTATTCTTTTTTTCTTAGTACAATTGGATATGAAACATAAAACATTGAATACTAAATTTATAATTTAAAAATTAAAGATAATTATATTTAAATCTCTCAAAATTCCCCATTAAAAAAAATTTAAGTTAAAATATCCCAAAATTCTCACGAACACTTCTTCAATAATCAATTAATTAATTATGAAGTATCGAAAAAAAAAAAATTAAGGCAGTGGAAGTTTGTACCGATTGTCGTTTCACTATCACCTTTCACCGAGGGGCGAGAGAAACCGACATGTCGAGTGATTTGCCAACGCTCTCCGCCCACCGGGTCGATTCCAGAAACAGCTTAGAAATCTTTCCCGCGACCCGACCCATACCCGGCCGCTTATCTGGGTCCTCCTCCACGCATTCCAGCCCAACCACCACCATCTTCTCCGCCACCTCCACCGGAAATGAGTCCATCAATCTCCGATCCACCCATGTCCGAATCCCGCCGGTTCCACTCTCCACTGCCTTTTTCGCTGTCTCTATCACACTTACCCTCACATACCCGCCGCCGCGATTCCCCTTCTCCAGAATGAACTTCAACGCCTCGTCGCCGGAGATTAGTTCCAGAATCAACACTCCGAACGCATAAACGTCGATTTTCTGGCTCATCGTCCCATTCGCCATCATCTCCGGCGCTATGTAACCTCTCGTCCCTTCCAGTTTAATCTTCTTAACGTTTGGCCGCTTCGGCCGCCTGTAAGTCGTAATCTCTGATTTGTTTCCTTCTTCTTCTTCTTCTTCATTCTCCTCCTCTGTCACTGCTGTCTCGCCACAGAGCTCCGCGGTGCCGAAATGGCAGATTTTCGGAGTTAGGGTTTCCTCCGTGATTACAATGCTGGAGCTCTTGATGTGATTGTGGATGAATTTCGAGTTCAAACCAGAGCAATGGTGGATGTAATCAAGTCCGTGCGCTAAATCGGTAGCGATTTGCATCCGAGAAATCCAAGTCGAAAGTACGGTGAAATTGGGGTTTCTCGGATTACGGAGACACTCCGCCAAGTTTGCTCCGACGATAAATTCGTACACCAGATAAACGTAATCCCCCGAAATCGAAGCGCCTAGGAGCTTCACCAGACTGTTATGGTGGCTCCGGCCGATAACAGACAACTGATGCTTCAACTCCGGTAACTCAATCGGACGGAGCAATTTCCGCTGAAAAACGATCACGTCTTTTCCCCTAATTAAGCACCGCCACGAAGAAGAAGAAGACGACGAAGAGAACGGTTTGGAGAGGAAATTGTTGGTAGCGGAACGAATCTCAGAAAACTCGTAAATGAGAGGATTATCCGGAAGCGAATTCTTCAAACTGACAAGCGAAGCTCGACTAGAACTGGAAGATTTCGACGAGCTCTTAGTGCTGGATTTAGTATCGGTAGTGCTAATATTGTAACTCGTGAAATTCACAGAACTGGAAGGATCCGCATAGGAAGACGAGGCGTTGGATTTCGACATTCGTTGATGGCGAGAGGATCTAGGGCTCGGCGGATCGATCACGTCCGTACTTTTCTTAGTCTTGCACATCGGAGTGACGAAATCGAAAATTGAAAATCAGAAAACATAGGGACCTGTAGAACGTCTCGAAGAAGATGAAAAATTGGGGCAAAGAATCATAGAACAAACCAGATCGTCGGAGGAGGAAGAAACGGCGGCGGCGGCGGCGTCGAAATCGACCGTTTGAATAGCGGAAACGCAGGTGGTAAAGTAATTTAGGGTTTGGTACAGAGGATTTTCAGTAATGTTGCTGTCAATCGGAGAAGACGAAACCCAAAACGACGACGAAGAAGACAGATAAACAAAATCGTACGGGAATTTTCTTCTCCGGCCATTCCACTGTTGTGGGCCTTTTCTCTAGGGAGAAATTTGTAATTAATTAATTAATTATTAAATATGTTACTATTCCATTTTTTAAAAATCACATAAATTATATTTAAAATATCGAATTTTATTTTTGAAAAATGTCAAATACATTTATTATATAAGAAATTAAAAAAATTATTAGACATGGAGAACTGGCACTATTTTTAAAATTTATAAAGTTTATGAAAAAGACTAATTTATAATATAATATTTTACTTTTTTATTGGTGTTTATTAAGGGTTTTTCAGTGGTACATTGCTTTATAGCTTCATATATGGGGGAGGGTTTTTTTTTTTAATGAGGAAATAAAATAATGCTTGAAATAGGAATGATAATTAATGATGATGATTGATAGTGAATTTAAAAATATTGGCATAGTATTAATATTTTAATATATAATATATATATACATATATAAGATTTATTAGACAAAGTTTAACACAAAAATATATTAAATACATTAAAAGCAGGTATAATATATTTTTTTTATTTATAAATAGTAAAATTCCTCCGACATTAAATAGTTTATTTATCTATAAGCAATTATTTCTAGTAATATACGGCCAAAACTATCAAAATTGACGGATTGTGAAAATACAATCAGAAATTGACAAAATATATTTAATAATTAAATAAGATTTCTTCTAAGAACAAAAATGTTGAACTCTAAAGGAAGTTATGCAATGTTTCGGGACATAGTGATGTCAATTTAATTTGCAGGGATCTCCTTCGACCAAAATTGAAATGTCAAGAAAGAAAAAGATAATCTTATTTAATGAAGAACGATGGAAAAAGGAGTGTGATTTTTCCTGAAGATATTGCGAATATTATATTATATATATTTGTCCTGCCTCATTGAACTTTTTAAAATCAAAGACACTGTAAAAAACAATTTACTAAAATTTAATTAAACTGCTTTAATTTAAAGTAAAGTCAAAGTAGTGACATGTACTAAAAATGTATTAAAAAAATATTAAATTAAGTCAAACTGAGTAATTCATCTTCATGAAACCAATGGTTCAGTCATCACCATATTTACCGTACTAAAAAAAGGAGGAGGTAAAAGTAGTAAAGATTGATGTACACTTAAAAGATTAAGGTTAAAGTTGAAAGAATGAACTAATAAAACTTCAAAAACCACATACAGTTTACCAAATTTGATTCCTTTACAATCGCATATATTTTACAAAAATATAAAAATATTTCAAAGAAATAGTTTCTATATATATAAAAGAAATGAATCAAAGCTATAAAATTCTAGGAAAACTAATTAACGAGTGTAACAATTCTATGGAAATTTATTATACTATAAAACAATAATAGAAATAATATGTTGAAAAATATTAAATAAGAAAAATACAACACATGAAACTCTATAATGAGAACCCCTTATTCTCAAAAGGGTCCTCGAAAAAAGGAAAAAAAAAAAAAAAAAAAAAAAAAAAAAAAAAAAAA